AAAAAAAAAAAGGACATTATGCCTAGAGCCAGCATGAGAAGAATAGTAAGAAATAGTGCGAGATGATGTCTGAGAGGAGAGCAGGGAACAAGTCCTGTAGGATATATGCCATGACAAGAACTTTGGATTTTTATTATAAGGTCAACAGAAGTCATTACGGGGTTTTTAGCAGGAAAATGACATTATATGGCTTCTGTTTTTAAAAGATTTCAATAATTGCTGTGAAAAGAATGATTGGTAGAAGGCTCACAGCAGATGTTATTCCAGTGGTCTAGGCAAAGAAATGCTGGTGCTGTGGACAAAGATCGTGGCAGGAGAGACCGTGATAAATAGAATGAAAAATTTGGATGAAGAACTCACAGACTTGGTCACAGATTATAAGAGTTGATGGTAGAGTAGTGTAGGAAGATTTAATTTTTCACCTGAATACTAGGTGACTGATGGTATCATTTAGTGAATTGGAGATGTAAAGAACAACAAGTTTATACACACATATCTAAAAGTCAAGAATTCCCATTTTTTTTATGTAATTAAGTTCAAGATACCAATTAAATCTCCATATGGAAATGTCAAGCAGGCAATTAGATTTACAAGTCTGAAGTTCAGCAGAGAGATCTGGCCTGAAGATACAGATTTGGGAATCATCAGTATATCAACTACATTTAAAGCAATAGGGCTTAATGAGAGTACTTAGAGAACAGAACCTAGGGTACAAACTTTAGGTAATCCAATATTCAGGCTGGACGCAGTTGGCTCACACCTGTAATTCCAACACTTTGGGAGGCCAAGGTGGGAAGACTGCTTGAGCCCAAGAGTTTAAGACCAGCCTGGGTAACATGTCATCACCTTGTCTCTACAAAAAAAAAAATACAAAAATTAGCCAGGCACAGTGGCATACAACTGTAGTGCCAGCTACTTGGGAAGCTGAGGTGTAAGGATTGCTTGAGTCTGGGAGGTCAAGGCTGCAGTGAGCTGTGATCGTGCCACTGCACTCCAGCCTGGGTGATAGAGAGAGACCCTGTCTCAAAAACAAAAACAAAAAAACACACATACCCAATATTCAAAGGCTCAAAGGTCATACACAAGAAAAGACTGAGAAGACCAGTGAGACAGATAAAAAGAAACTCAAGTGAGGAGAAAGAGTTAAACAAGTATGTTTGCTCTCTTCTAGCAGATAATTTTAAGATGAACCCTGAATGGTGTATGTATCTTCATTTCTGCGTACTTTTTATTTATTTAGTTTTTTGAGACAGAGTCTTGCCCTGTTGCCCAGGCTGGAGTACACTGGTGCAATCTCAGCTCACTGCAACCTCTGCCTCCCAGGTTCAAGCGATTCTCCTGCCTCAGCCTCCTGAATAGCTGGAACTACAGGCACCCACTACCTCGCCTGGCTAATTTTTGTATTTTCAATAGAGACGAGGTTTCACCATAACAACCTGGTTGGTCTCGAACTCCTGAACTTGTTGATCTCGAACTCCTGAACTTGTGATCTGCCCACCTCACCCTCCCAAAGTGCTGGAATTATAGGCAAAGCCACCATGTCCAGCCCATTTCTGCATACTTTAAACTGTGAAATGAAAGGATAAATGTAAAAATAGTAGGTCTTCATTATCTAATAGCAAAAGCAGGAAAAAGAAACTGTCATTGCTTATTCCAGCTCCCCCAATTACCTTGCATGAAATAAAGCAGTAACAGCCAAACAAAGATTCTTAAAGAGGTAACCTGAATCCACCAATTGCTGAACAATGGAAAAAATACAACTCGAACAAGCCCCTTCCGAGTCAGAGATGTCCATGGAATTTCAGGTTTTGCTTTGGCAAATGTTGAGCCTTTAAACATACAATAAAACAAAACATCAAACATTTATATACACCATATTGATGCCCACCTGTAGCACTACATTAAAACAGGTGAGTACAAAAATCAGCACAAAACCTGTTCAGTTAGAAAAAAAAAACAACAACTCTCTTACATGTTTGTTAAATGTAGTAACTTCTTGCTTCAATCACTAGGACAGAAGCTCAAAATAAATTAGGCTTCCTTGAATGTTAAACAATATATTTATCTTACTTACACAACAAAAAGTCTCTATGTTCACCCCTCTTTAATATGAATGCAGTGATTTATAGAGCCACAGAGTACTAAGGCAGAGGGGGAAAAAGTACTACAGCCTGAATGATGAGAGTAAAGTGTTACATTTGAAAATTAAAGCACACTATCATATAGAAAAGATATTGAAAAATAAGTATCACTGTGAAATAATTTAATAATGTACATAAAAAACAATTTAAGAACTCACCTCTGATTAAGTCAACGTCAATCAAGTCTGGCTTTATATGGCCCATCTTTTTTGGTTTGTTTTTGAAACCCTAAGGATAAAACAAAACCAGAAATAAAGAAAAGCCCTTTTATTTATTTTTTCTTTTTTTGAGATGCAGTTTCACTCTTGTTGACCAGGCTGGAATGCAATGCTGCAATCTTGGCTCACTGCAACCTCTGTCTCCCAGGTTCAAGAGATTCTCCTGTCTCAGCCTCCCAACTATCTGGAATTACAGATGCCTACCACCAAGCCTGGCTAATTTTTTGTATTTTTAGTAAAGATGGGATTTCACCATGTTGGCCAGGCTGACCTCGAACTCCTGACCTCAGGTGATCCACCCGCCTCGGCCTCCCAAAGTGCTGGGATTACAGGTCTGACCCACTGTGCCCAGACAGAAAAGCCCTTTTAAATACAAAAAAATAAACTTACACATTTCTTTTTCTCTATATCTGACTCCTTATTATGGGGGACACCTTAATCCTAACGCTCCTTAAAGGAACTTGCCACTAATATATATTTTGTTTTAGTTTTTAATCTTCTCAACTAATACATCCATATACTTTATTACTTTCTAAAATATTTGAATGTGACAAAAGATCAGTAAGTGAAAAATAATAGTCCCATGAGCCATCTCTCCTCTCCTCTGAATTTCACTCCTCAAAAACAAGTTAACTTCTATCTTTTGCTTTTGGTTATTTTTAATTGACATGTAATAATTGTACATACTTATGGGGTAGAATGTGATATTTTAATACATGTATGCAATGTGTAATGATCAAACTATATCTATCACCTTGATCATGTATCATTTCTTTGTGTTGGGTTCATTCAAAATCCACCCTTCTAGCTATTTGAAAATATACAATAAATTGTTGTTAATTATAGTCACCTTATAGTGCTACAGAACACTAAATCTTATTCCTATCTAGCTGTACTTTTGTATTTGTTAACCAACCGTTGGTATTTCTCATTCCCTCCCTCTTACACTTCCCTGCTTCTAGTAACTATTATTTTACTCTCTACTTCTATCAGATCAACTTTTTAGCTTCCATGTATGCATGAGAACATGAAGTATTTATCATTCTGTGCCTGAATTATTTCACTTTTCATAACGTCCTCCAGTTCCATTTGTGTTACCTTGAATGACACAACTTCATTCCTACAGCTAAATAGTATTGCATTGTGTATATATACCACATTTTCTTTATCCATTCATCTGTTGATAGATATGTACACTGAATTCCATCTCATGACTACTGTGAATAGTGCTGCAATAAACATAGGAATACAGATATCCCTTCAACATACAGATTATCTTTCCTTTGGATATATACTGAGACTGCTGGATCATAGGGTAGTTCTATTCTAGTTTTTTGGGGGAACCTCAATAGTTATCCGTAATGGCTGTACTAATTTACATTCACATCACCAGTGTATAAGAATTCCCCTTTCTCTGCATCCTTGCCAGCATTTGTTATCTTTTTGTCTTTTTGATAACAGTCATTTTAACTGTGTTGACATGATATCCCACTGTGGTTTTGATTTGCATTTCCGTGATGGCCGGTGATGTCGAGCATTTTTTCATATACCTGTTAGCCATCTGTATTGTCTTCTTTTGAGAAACGTCTATTCAGCTCATTTATCCATTTTAAAATTGAAGTATTGGGATTTTTGCTTTTGAGTTCTTTGAGATCTTTATATATATTAATCCCTTTTCAGATGAAAGTCTGCAAATATTTTCTCTCATTCTGTAGGTTGTCTCTTCACTCGATTGTTTCCTTTGCTGTGTAGAAGCTTTCTAGTTTGATAAAATCCCATTTGTCTATCTTTGCTTGTGACCTGGGCTTCTGAGGTCTTCTCCATAAAATCTTTACCCAGACCAATGTTCTGAAGCATTTCCCCTGTTTTCTTCTAGCAGTTTCAGGTCTGACATTTAAGTCATTAATCTGTTTTGGCTTGATTTTTGAATATGGTAAGAAATAGTGGCCAAGCGCAGTAGCTCCTAGCACTTTGGGAGGCCAAGGCAGGAGGACACTTGAGATCAGGAGTTTGAGACTAGCCTGGCCAACATGACAAAACTCTGTCTCTACTAAAAATATAAAACGTAGCTGGGCATTGTGGTGGGCGCCTGTAATCCCAGCTACTCAGGAGGCTGAAGCAGAAGAATCGCTTGAACCAGGGACGTAGAGGTTGCAGTGAGCTGAGATCATACTACTGTACTGCAACCTGGGCAACAGAGCAAAACCCTGTCCCTTAATTAAAAAAATAAAAATAACCTGTACATGCTAATTATTAATTATCTTTTAAAAGTCAGATATTCAACCATTAAAATTAATGCCAAAATTAAAGGTTAACAATAATTTGCTATTTACCTCTTATGGACATTGAATCAGTATTGATCTTTAGCTCTGTTTAACTTAACAGATGCAGTCAATTTCTCTTAAGTGAATCCTATATATTTCTATGCAACTAATCATAAGCCATAGATTTTACAGAAAAATGTTCTAAAATCCTAAATGTAATACAATTAAAGAAGAATCAAAATTTGGAAATGAGGCAACTCAAGGAAAAAACCCTTTGATGAAACAGAAGAAACATGTACACTAACTTTTGAAATATGAATTATTTTCATGAGAATAACAATTATCTTGTATACTATATTGAAAATCAAAAATTAAAATTTAAAGGTAAAATATTATTTTTTACCTTTTTGGACATTTGTACCAGTGCTATTCCCCATCACTTTAGAGCCGAAATAATGTTTCCACTTTCTTTGCTTTCTAGACTTTTCTCCAATAATTTTACAGAGTTAGAATTAGCATTAACTAGAAGTAAAATTGTCCAAAACTCCCTTAGCAATAGAAACACATTTATTCATTCACTCAGTCAACAAATATTCGACAAGTTTCTATGTGTCAGGTACTCTGCTTGAGCAAGGTACAAAATAATAAGTCAAACATGGCTCTATCTTCAAAGAACGTACAGCATAGACGGAAACACAAACAATAAGGCCAAATATACAAGGGTTTCTCAGGAAAATACCCTCTGAATCTCCCCATTTTTTTTAGCTTCCTAAAGGGACAGAAATCATTAATAAATTTATGACCACTGATCTTAAGGGAGATTAGGAAAGTCACTATATACTGTTGTATATTTTGTACTCAGGGAGAGTAAAAAACACATTCCATACTTTTGCATTAGAATCCTTCTCCTTTATCTTCCACCGTGCATGTATGTATAAGAGGAAGTACATGCCAGGCACTATCCTAAGGGCTTTACATATAGTCATGCATTACTTAATGATGGGGATGCAAGAAATTCATCTTTGATTTCATCTGTTGACTGAACATCATACAGTGTAGTTACACAAATCTAGATGGTATAGCTTACTACACACCTAGGCTATATGGTAGCCTATTGCTCCTAGGCTACAAATCTCTCCAGCATATTATGAAGAAGAATATTTAGGCAATTTTAAACACAGTGGTATTTGTGTATCTAAACCTAGAAAAGGTATAGTAAAAATATAGTGTAAAAGATAAAAAATGGCACTGGTTGCAGTGGCTCAAACCTGTAATTCCAGCACTTTGGGAGGCTGAGGCAGGCAAATCACCTGAGGTCAGGAGTTCAAGACCACCCTGGCCAACATGGTGAAACCCCATCTCTACTAAAAATATAAAATTAGCTGGGCATGGTGGTATACGCTTATAAACCCAGCTACTCGAGAGACTGAGGCAGGAGAATCGCTTGAACCTGGGAGGCAAAGGTTGCAGTGAGTCAAGACAGCACCATTGCACTCTAGCCTGAACAACAATAGTAAACCTCCATCTCAAAAAATAAAAAATCGTACACCTGTATAGGGTACTTATCATGAATAGCGCTCTCAGGACTGAGAGTTGCTCTGAATGAGTCAGTGAGTGAGTGGTCAATGAAAGTGAAAGACTAGTACATTGCTGTAGTACACTACTGTAGACTATATAAACACCATAAACGTGGGCTATACATTTTTTAAAATCTTCCTTTCTACAATAACCTTTTTTTTTTTTTTTTTTTTTTTTTTTTTTTTTTTTTTTTTTTTTTTTTTTTTTTTTTTTTTTTTTTTTCTGAGACAGAGTCTTGCTCTGTTGCCCATGATGTAGTGCAATGGCATGATCACAGCTCACTATAAGCTCATTCTCCTAGGCTCAAGCAATCCTCCTACCTCAGCCTCCCAAGTAGCTGGGACTACTGCACCCAGTTATTTTATTTCTTTGTAGAGAAGAGGTCTTGCTTTGTCACCCAAGCTGCTCTCAAACACCCGGTCTCAAGAGATCCTCTTGCCATGGCCTCCCAAAGTGCTAGAATTACAGGCAGGAACCACCTTACCACCCAACCTGTTCCATAATAAACTTAGCTTACTGTAATGTTTTCATTTTATAAGCTTTATAATTTTTTTAACTGTTTTGTAATAACAGTTTAAAAACCACATATTTTCTTTATAAAATTTATTAAGCTTTTTTTTTTTTTTTTTTACTTTTTAAATAAATACTAAAACAAACACACATAGCCAAGGCCTACATAGCGTCAGGATCATCAATATCACTCTCTTCCACCTCCACATCTTGTCCTACTGTAGGGTTTTCAGGGGCAATAACATGCAGGGAGCTAATATCTCCTATGATAACAATGCCGTCTTCCAGAATGCCACCTGAAGGACCTGCCTGAGACTGTTCTACAGTTAACTGATTTCTTTTTTTTTTTTTTGAGACGGAGTTTCGCTCTTTGTTACCCAGGCTGGAGTGCAATGGCGCAATCTCGGCTCACCGCAACCTCCGCCTCCTGGGTTCAGGCAATTCTCCTGCCTCAGCCTCCTGAGTAGCTGGGATTACAGGCACATGCCACCATGCCCAGCTGAATTTCTGTATTTTTAGTAGAGATGGGGTTTCACCATGTTGACCAGGATGGTCTCCATCTCTTGACCTCGTGATCCACCCGCCTTGGCCTCCCAAAGTGCTGGGATTACAGGCGTGAGCCACCGCGCCCGGCCAACTGATTTCTTAATAGAGGGAG